AACAAAAGAGAATCGTTATTTAACGCTTAGACAGTATTCAATTGGCTGGAACAAGTGAACATTTGTGATTGATGCTGAGGTTTTGTAACGTCCTTAGTTTATTGAAAGTAAAGTAGGTGATTTTTATTGAGGATACATTCAGTCTACTAATGTTCATAAATACAAAAATTCAGTCTACTGGTGTTCATAAATATAAACATTCAGTCTACTGGTGTTAATAAATACAAACGTTCATGTGTACTGGTGTTCATAAATACAAAAATTCAGTCTACTGGTGTTCATAAATATAAACATTCAGTCTACTGGTGTCCTTAAATACAAACGTTCAGTGTACTGGTGTTCATAAATACAAACATTCAGTCTAATGGTGTTCATAAATACAAACGTTCAGTCTACTAGTGTTCATAAATACAAACATTCAGTCTACTGGTGTTCTTAAATACAAACATTCAGTCTACTGGTGTTCATAAATACAAACATTCAGTCTACTGGTGTTCATAAATACAAACATTCAGTCTACTGGTGTTCATAAATACAAAAATTCAGTCTACTGGTGTTCTTAAATACAAAAATTAGGTGTACTGGTGTTCATAAATACAAACGTTCAGTCTACTGGTGTTCATAAATACAAACGTTCAGTCTACTAGTGTTCATAAATACAAACGTTAAGTGTACTGGTGTTCTTAAATACAAACATTCAGTCTATTGGTGTTCATAAATAGAAGTTTCTAGCAAAAGAACGTTACGTTTTCGTCTAAAAATGTCATAAGTATGGTTACAGCCAAAAAGTCTCCAACAGCAATAAACTGCAGTTCGTATAGTTATTAAGAAAGTAATCCGTGGAGACAACTACAAGTTATACTTTCTTTCACGAACACCAACCATTTTTATTTACATATGAAACATTAAGAATTAATTGATGAACAAAAACTAATTGTAAGAAAGATGACATTCCTACAGGCGATGTTAAATCGTAATTGTCTATATAAATTTATTATCTAATTTGAAAGAGCTGTCCGTTATTTATTTAGAGCATTGTAGAATTTAAAACAAAATATATCTAAACTGGTTATAGTTTTATTTTTCAAACATTAATATTAATTATTCTTGAAAACAATTCATTACGTAATAAAAATATTCAGATTGTTGTAAGTAAAGATGATTTGTTTGTTGTGAAGCACAAAGCTACACATTGGGTATATGTGTCCTGTTCACCACGGGTATCAAAACCTGCTTTTTAGCGTTATAGACACTCAGATTTACTACTGAGCTACGAAAAGGTGGAGTCCAGTTGGAATGATTTTGTTTTGTTTGTTTGCTTGTTGAATTTCGTGCAAAGCTACTCGAACGTTATCTGGGTTAACCGCCTGTAATATGGAAATGTTAGACTAGAGGGAAGGCAGCTAGTCAACACCACCCACCGCCAACTCTTGAGTTACTCTTTACCAACGAATAGTGAGATTTACAGTCACATTATAACGCCCTCGCGGCTGAAAGGGTGAGCATGTTCGGTGGCGGGATTCAAACCCGCAGTTTGCGAGTAGAGAGTTTTAACTACCAAGCCATTATAGAAAGGACAGAAGATCAGAAAATGTGTCTGGTGTGATATTCCAAAAAACAATGGTCTGCTAACTTACCACCTAGATCTAATAACTCAAACCCAAGTATGACGGTGATTATGATAATATATGAGGTAAAAAATAAATACAAAAGTTAGTTTATAATCATCAAACATGGAGTTTACTTCCAAATCACTACCACAGTATTTTTTAGTTTATTCTAAAATAGAATGAAATAAAATATCGTGTTGTGTTTTTAAGTGAGTTAGTCTTCACACGTCCTAGGCTAATAAAAATGTAAGCTTATAAACAATTGAAGGAAACATGGGAAAATCAGTTTCTTCCAAAAATGAATTTACACTTATATCTATGAAATTAAAAGATTTTAAAAGTTAAAATTCGTGAAATTAAGTTCGTTTGTTTTGTAATGAAGCACAAAGATACACAATGTAGAGGGCACCTACTCAGAGTATTTTACCCCTGAGGAGGGTTTTCCTCAAGGAGGGGTAGTTAGCCCCATACACTTCATCATATATGTAAGAGAAATGCCTTTAGACGACCCCAATTTCTGTTATACCTCACAATTCGCAGATAATGTAACAATGTTGAAGAGTTCCCAAACACCCTCTACAGCAGCCGCTAACTTACAACCAGCTCGAAACGAAATAGCAGAATGCTGCCAAACAAAAGTGATTAAAATGTATATACCAAAAACACAAATTCTTGTACTTGTAAAATTCAAGAAACTCTTATCGCCACGGAACCCTCCTCCAGACGGCTACATCAGCAAATTTTCTAGGCCCCCATCTACGATTCAAAATTAACATGGCAAAAACATATAAATGAAATCGCATATAAAATCGTGAGACGAGTCAACCAGGTTAGAAGTTTGTCTGGAAATAATACGGACACGTCACCCAAAAAACATACTGAAGATATACAAACAACACCTATACGTCCAGTAATAAAGTACGCCTGTCTGGCAAGGATTAACATAGCACCAAGTAAAATAAAAACAAAACTCAATACTCACAAGTGCATACTAGGTCCCACGTTCAACAAGTTCAAGTTTCATACATAACTATGCCAACACACAACCGCTCAATGACAGTTCTCTAAACAGATCGTACACTTATTTACAGAAAAACCTACGTAGAAACGAACTACTACGCACATTGAATCGCCATATCACACATGACGAAACTGAGCGTAAGTACCTCTCACCATAAATATGTACTTTAAGAATAGCAACCAGCCACCTACTGCTAAACTTACCTAATATATCATCTATGTAGTGTATGCATTGTATATTAAAAAGGGTTATATATGTCAATACATATAAGATATGCTACAAAATGAACAAGCATTGGAGTGCAAACCAGTGCAAATGATGAACATCGAACATGAATGTACATGGCCCGGATAAGGGTATTGAAATCATAACAGTGAATTAAAGTGCTATCAACACCCTCTTTCGTGTGATGTTTACCATTTAAACAGTGCGTACTTGAGTGGCCAGTACATTTACTAAACTTTAAACGATATAGAGAAGATTAGCAAGGGTGACAAAATCGTGAAACGACTAAACACCAGTACAGGAGGTGAAGCATGATACGTGACCCCCCCCACCACACACACACATAAAGATCCCGAAAAGGATCTTGATCCCAATAAAGCTGCGATGACATTACTCTCGTTGCTAACGCAACATACAGTAAGCTGGGTAACTAAACAAAACCGAAAAACGGTCGAGATGTGTGTTTGCCACATTGGGCTGTCGGCTGTGTCCACCACAGTGAATTGAACCCCAGATTTTAGCATTGGAAGTAAGTAAACTTAGAGATGACCCACCTGGGGACACGAGCGCGATGCTTGTTATTGTTGTTTGTTTTTGGTTTGTTTGTTGTTGCTTTTTATTTCGCGCTACAAATAGATCTGTTTACATGACACACTTTCATTGGTCAAGGTCAGTGGGAGTCAAAATCCAGTCCCATTTGACAGGTTTATTATTTGAATGTAAGTCGTTCGATAAAATAGCTTCCACCTTGAAAATCATTACTAGAATTTGTTACACACTTTTATTTTAATTCCTAAACAAATTTCCTGAAACAAAAAACACAATAAATTATATTCGTCTTTATCTAGACAGCCAATTGCAACATTTTTGAAAACTGATCCATTTATAATTACCCAAAGCTTACAAAAAGCCAAACTATGTTAGCATAACTTTACAGTATTAACAACCTTTATACTAATACCCTACAATCTGATCTTAAAAGTAAAACCATCGATATTTTTTGTAACTGAAAGATTACATTCGCTTTAAATAAACGCTAAAAGAAAGGCATCTAAATGACGCTAAAGCCTTTTGAATAGAATAATTCAAGCAGCTTTCTTACTAACATTAACCTTAACAGTCAGTCAGTTCACATCATAGAAAAAAACTGTTAGGCCAACCTAATTGCTTAGTTCTTAAAGGTTTTGTACATGGGTGGGCCAGCGTTGGTCAGAGTGCAGAAAGCCTATTTTGTAGTTATGTGCACAAATCAAATCAACAACTTAAAGTTTTTATAAAGCTTCTGTTTCACATTGCACACTTAAAAGGACAGGAATGGCATTACTCTCCGAATAACCTCACCAGAATTACATGTATGTTTCTCCTGCTCCCTTCCAAATTTTCGTTGGAAATGTGACTTTTCCATGGTTTATCTATGGCGTTTTGTCCTCAACACCTTTATTCTTATTCATTAATAAAATGGAATTAATAACTTCAGTAAATATATATATATGTCGTTTAGAGAAAAGTTTAAAATGCCGATGTTCCGGTTTACTTAAATCTTACAAATATGAACTCTGTTGAAGAAAAAGCTTGTGTATATATATGTAATGAATAATGAAGTAGAGTTGTATTTCCTAATATTTTCTTTTCCTTTCTGATATTTTATTAAAATGTCTTAATCATTTTAGATGTATTGGTAAAACATGGAGGCAAATAACTGATCTTGTTACTTTTGAGAATTACACTCAAGGCTTTCTGGATTTGCTAATTTCTAAGTAAGAACATATCTTGTAGAGAATAAAATTTTGAAGTTTGTGAGAAGTTTACAAATCCATACTTTAGATTGAAATGGTGCTTCTGCTTCTTTATAGAATTAATTAAATAATCAGTTTGATAATATGAGTCGAGAAAAAAAAAGAAAATTTTAGAAATTCGGTAATCTTAACGTCAATACTTACCCATTTCTAATACACATATAATATATTTACTTTCTTCTTAAGATTTTTAATTTGACTGTTTGTTCTTCGACGTAAACACGATAGATGGAGTAGCATGCATAAGTAGGTGTTAAAAATAACCCTGTGACGTTTATAGTAATCTCTCGATTGTTTAAAAAACAAAAGTCACATGACATTCGTGATAAGTTATAAGTATAGAACACAGAAATGGACTTTCGAATCTTAATGTACACTGTAAACACAAAATCATCTTGCTATCTTGCTCTACTTGAATATTACCTGTACAAGTAAACGAAGAGCCATATTCATTGCACTATATATTGACTCCAAAACAGTGATTCTTTTTTATATTTAAAATAGTCTTGAAAAGAGATGCAGTGTCAGTGAATTATAACTCTGGAATTTCTGTTTTTTGAACGGTAAGTCAGCTAACTAAATAAGAAGATATACGACCTCAGAATAACTTCATTTTATATGACCATCAGTGTTTAAATTTGCGTTACTTAATACTGGATTTAAGCCTTACTTCAATTTGTTAATCCAATTATGGTTAGCCACAGTTATTCTTAGTTCAGTTTGTTAATCCAATTATGAATAGTCACAACTATCCTTAGTTCAACTTTTAATCCAATTATGAATAGTCACAACTATCCTTAGTTCAACTTTTAATACAATTATGAATAGTCACAACTATCCTTAGTTCAACTTTTAATCCAATTATGAATAATCACAATTATCCTTAGTTCAATTTCAATCCAATTATGAATAGTCACAACTATCCTTAGTTCAACTTTTAATCCAATTATGAATAATCACAATTTTCTTTAATTAATTTTTCGAAACTTACTAATTTTGTCTCTGACTCACTCGTAAGAGGTTTTTATTTCCCTTCATTTTGTACTCGTCAGGCATGTGGGTGGATGTTTTGTTGAGAAAAAACGTAACTTATTTTTACTGTTATTGTAATTTATCAAATTTATATATTCAAATCATGTCAGAAAATGTGTCTAAGATGTTGTTGATATTTTAGAGTGAAATCAAATGTTATTATGTTATCATTCAAATGTTATGAAAGAAAGTGACATGAATGTCACTATGTAATAGCAAGTACAGTGGGTGGGGAACAAATCGTTGGTTATACGTTATTTACCCGCAAATACTTCTAGAAACTCATAGATATAATTACTTCAGGATGCATACAGCAACAGCATGAAAATGGAAAATACTAGTGTTGGTGATAAAATGGGTTTAGGCCAAGCATCAGAAGACATCGCAGTAAGTCAGGGATTTCCACGGCATCTTCGTAACCGACTGAAGAAAATTACCTGCTGGATTACTGCAACACTATTGTTCCTGACGTACAACGTGTATCTAGGGTTTTCTCTACATCATTCGTGGCTTTTGTCTAGTTCGTGGTGTCATGATGTTCGCCTTCTGGTACTTCTTACAGTCATTGTTTACGGTAGTATTGTATACTATGTACTTCTAAAACAATGGCTATTTCAACCTCTCATCAACGTCTTCATTGGTTGTTTTCGAAGGATGCCATACAGTGGGTAAGATACATTTTTGTCGCAAGTTCTGGACATTTTATGTGTTTATTTTGTTATTAAGCGCAAAGCTACACAATGAGCTATCTATGCTATACTCAACACGGGTATCGAAACCCGGTTTATAGCGTTATAAGCCTTCAAACTTGCCACTGGAGAAGGGGCTTATAGTCAACGTTTACAATGATATGTAGAAATGACATCCCATGATACTCGATTTAACTTTTTAGTGCGATCTTTTAAATTCTAGATTGATTTTTAAAGGTACGAACAACCTAATCAACTCAAAGTTATTTTTATTTGGTATCAACAAGCGCTACAGTAGAAGAGCTACAGAAATTGTCCACATAGTTTCAAAATGCTTTGACTGTCTTCATACCTCATAAAAGTTGGTACTACTGTTATAAACTGGAACATATCGGTTGCTTGGATTTAAAATAAATCCTTTACAGTGCTCTACTACAATAATGTGGAATAATTTACCCATAATTACCCCCCCCCCAACTAAGTAGTCATTTATGGTTTATTATTTAGAACGTTACAAAATTTGTGTTATAGAGGTATCATACGATAAACTTAAACGTTAGAATTTTATTAAATATATCATGGGTAAGAAGAAATTATGTACTTAGCTTTTGTTTCGATAAATATCCAGCCAATATGTGTGTATAGGGTCCAACGTTGGAAACAATCAAGTAGAAAACAAGAAAATATTTTGATAAAAATCACGTAATTCCTCTTAATATTTCATTAATTTAAGAAACGCTCTCTTATACCCATTCTAACGCACTTCGTCCGAATTACATATTACAAGTTAGTTTGCTAATCAGATGAATATATTACAGGTTAGTATAATAATTAGCTGAATATATTAC